TGAACCGATTTTCATGATTCTTTTTTTTGTTGTAAAGGGGGTACTTCCATAGTGGTCCCATTTCATTTTGAAGAAAATCGTCCACCTTTAAGGGTGGATGTTCATGCATTAAGATTCATTTTTATAAATAGCTCCTAACTTTAATTTAGAAGCAATTATTTTAATGGTTGATTTTGCTATTCTCCAATTCAAGGCGTTTTTCTCTCAATATACTTTGAGTAATGAGAACCGATTATTATTATCTCCAGTGTCAAGTCCTGTATAGTGGCTAACTATACAGGACTATATATAGGGTATATTTCAATAAAACTTAGCAAATAGGCGTAATTCCACGTACTTTTGAGGTCGGTTTTTTTAGTACACTGTACTGAGATTATATTGTGGCATAATCTAACTGTGTCGCTAATTTTCAATGAGCCTTAAGCAGAAATGAGCGTGTGTACGAGTGACGACGAATTAGTACTAAACTGCTCTGCTAAATCAGGTTGCACCTTTCACGATATTTACTCGATTGTTGTTATTCTAAAATTCTAGTTTTCGCCTGCAAATTAGACAATGTTAATGTCTTAATTTCAGGTGGAACAATGCTGCAACTCACTAAGTCAACGGCTTGGTGACAAAGAATACTTTTTCGGCACGTAAGTATCTGTTTTTGCTATAAATTAAACTAATGTAGGATTACAGCTATTTTTGTTATGGTGTGCTGTGTAGAATGTTATTTAAATATGCATAGGAATTACGATTTTGCATTTCACTTAGACTCTAATATTTGAAAATCGTTTTGGCATCCATCTACTATAATATCCGTGAAATATGACTTACGATTGGCGAACTGTTGTTAAAAGGGCTTAACTGTTTTACCATAAGAGTAAGACTTGCGCAACTGTTTTACCATGATAATCGGGAGTTGCGCAACTGTTTTACCATGAGAGTCGAAGTTGCGTAACTTTTTTAACACGCTGTACTGTATTGCCAACCGAGCTGTTGTAAGCATTAGTGATGTACAAGCCTGTAAAACGATGTGTTCATTCAGGCTGATAGGCCTGACACGGTGTGTATATACAACAGCGTACTTGCTTGCCAAGTTAACCGGGGTTGTAGTTCGAAGGAAAAACCACACCGATATTTGCGAAATATTAATGGGGATGCTCTTCGTGACCTTGGTCGTGGAAGGGTAGGGATCACAGCTTTACTACTCAAGGAGTATTAAGTCTGTGGACATAAAACTTTTTCTGAAAGACTCGGTCGGAACCCGCGTCGCACCACATCCATAAAGTGTGGTGATTCTTTCATCCTCACACATACGGAAGATATAAGCAAAAGTTTTTATTGTACAAAATTTTTTGAAACAAACTATCAAAAATAAAGAAAAAGTCTGTAACTGCCATTTTCGCCAGGCTATGATCATGTTGGTTGACTTGTTATTGTTTAACATTATCCATTTATAATGACGCGTTTCGGTGAAGGCGGCAATCGACCCAATGCAAATACCGCGGCGTGCTAATTATATAGGAACATTTCAACAAATTAAACTAATTATATATAAACATTTCAAACTCAAGATAACTTGACCACACTGGTAAATTAGATCGTTGAGATTATTTTTACAGTTGTTTCTTATCAATTAGCTGCGTGTGCTTAGGTTTGTTAAAATAATAAAACAGGGGAATAATAATATAATTATGTATATATAAAAAGAAAACGAAAGATGGAAATTTAAAGTGGTTTATGCACTATATGAATGGGTATCATGTACATATTTCCAATATTCATGGAATTTGTAAGCAACCGTAACTTGCCATTACCCACAGAGCAATACATAATAAATATCAGGAAGGGCTACGTCTATTTACATTCAATACGAGGTAAAACTTATGAGATTGAGCCACAGCGGCACCCAATTTCATAAGCTCATGGCAGCATTTCTTGTTTTAAAGCTAATATTATATTAACATTTAGACATGAGTACACAATTTTTTAAGTATTCCGATTAAGTAGCAGAAGAGCTCCATGTGAAAGAGTTCGCCCGGGGAAGAACTGCCACCTTACCTATTTTTGCTGCGAACCAGTATTATCTGTTCGCCGCCTTCGTCAGCCGAATTCGCCTGCCAAACAGGCTGCAGTCGACTCGATGTAAACAGCGAGTTAATTGCCTCAGGCGACTGCGCCACCTTCGTCAGCCGAATTCGCCTGCCAAACAGGCAGTCGACTCGATGTAAACAGCGAGTTGATGACGGCAGTCGACACGTAAACACGCTATAATAAACCCAAGCGTAAAGTATCCGGCTGTGACTGTTCATAAAAATCTTCACAATATAACCTCGTATCGGCGTGCACTAATTTAATTATTTCGCAAACTATTTTTATTAGCCTCGCTTAAGTGAATAGCCTTATTTAAGTAAATACATTTAATTAAAGTGAAAATGACACCAAGTCAATGTTTAAGAAAAACTGTTTTTTTTTAAGTTTATTAATTTTTACGACAACGTGCAAAGGTTACTTCATTATGGTATATATGGTATAAGGTATATCGCTAAAAGTTATCTATAATTTAGTGAAAAAATATATAGTGCGTGTATTCATTCTCAAAGTATGAATTTTAATTGTAGGCAATGAATTGACATGTCAGTGTTACTACTTTTTTGAAACCTATGAATTGATGATATGATGTTTTTTGAAATTTACTAAAATGTCAATTGTCAAAAACGTTTATTGCTTCATTACATACTGAAAAACATAACCCACATCCTCTCCAATTCTTGTAATTCTATCGACTAATATAGTAGATAGAGTTAGAAGAATTGGAGAGGGTGAGGGGTGCGTTAATACAAAACAGTTCACACATAAATACATTGTTCATAATACGCCAGGAAAATAAAAATATAAGAGAGTGATTCTTTTCTTCAAAAATCAAATACACTAAAATATATTGAGTTTACCTCATCTAAGTCGAACTCAAATACTGATTAAACTCTACTGCTCATTCGTAAGGATTCTTGCTTATTCTTCTCAGATTTCCCTGAGAAGAATAAGCAAGAAACTCTAGGGGTTGCTCTTTGTAAATATACATTTGAATACATTTGTCATTACAATATTTAATTTAAACATACATATATACCTATATGTATATATAGATCGAAAATACCTGAAAGAGCTAATGATGGATTTTTGTCATCCAAGTACGCAGAAGTTGTATAATAAACCTTTAGTATAAAGTTTTTGTCCCACTATAGTTTTAAACCTCGTAAATTTGAATATCATTCGGAATCTTATTATAGAAGCGTATACATGCCTCTTAAATGAATTTGAGACTTTATGAGGACGACCATCAAGAACAGCTAGTTTATTTTTATTTCTCGTGTTAATGACTGTCACCATTTTTCATAAAAAAAATCTTTTTCTTAACATAAATAACATTTTCATAAATTTACTGTGACGTTAGTGTAAGAATGTTAATCTCTTATCTCTCATATACACTCTGGGGCCTAGATTGTAAATCGCCCTAATCGCACTGCAGGACAAACGTTCTATTAATATCGGCGGCATTGCCCCAAAGCAAAAGCCGTATGTCATTCTATCTTTCCCTATCTATCTATCTCTATGCCAAACGTCAAATGAAGTGTCATAGGGATTATCCTAGTTCGTATTTAGTGTAATGATACACCAGTCCTATTTTAATGCTCTCGTACTTCCAGCCCCACTCCTCTAGACGCTCTGGTATACGGTCACGTGCGTGCCCTACTCTGCGCACGGGGCCCTCGTGCTGGAGTCATAATAAAGCCTGTCACAGGTGCTTTGTTGCGACATGTTATGCGTATGACCCAGTTGATTGGAATGCCACTTACGGTTAGTCCCATAATTACTGCTCATTCTAGATCATAGGTTTTCAAACTTTTTCGTTCACCGCTCGCTTAGGCCCGATAGAAAAAGTTCCACGCCCATCGCCACAAAAATAATTGAAAACACGAGAAAAAACGATGAGAAATAAAATATATGATGTAGTCATATCTTTTTTGAAGACGGAGTAAATAGACATTTATAGGGTTGTTTTAGTTGTTGTCGATAGATTGTGAAAGAAGACAAAATTTATCCAAAAATTACTAAATTGTGAATGTTACGACGTTCTAACGGTTAATATAAGTGTACCAGAATCTTATGGCATTAAATATTAGACTAATCGAATGACTTTCACCTGGCAATGTTAACTTGTCACATGTCAATTCAAAATATTACTTATGTCAAATAGCTGTCTGCTAAACTTTATTCACTATAAAATAACGACTTCGTAGGAAAATTACTGAGAACCCCCTCCAATCTCGAGCAAAAAACATTGCAATAATGTTTATATCGCAAAATCAGCGAGGAATTAGGTGCATTTAAGTCACATTTCACGATTTAGAAGCGGGTCTCAAATATTGCCAATTAGTACGAGTAAATAAACTTGATCTTTGAAATTTTAACGATGCCAAATCAATGTATGTAGTACCAATGTAATTTTTGCTGGTACTGATAGGCAAGACTACAGTGTGTAGACTACAGAGTGGTAAAAATGGTAAATGCGTGTTATTTCAAACTGCAAACTTAAATAAATCTCTATCACCCACAATGTAATTGATATATTTTTGTTTAATTTTAAAATGTGTCAGAAATTACTTAGCTTTCTCACACACAAATTCATACAGATCTTAAAACATGTACGAGGTTAGATCAATTTTGGTCAATTAAGATATATGAAGTATCTATCAGTACATTTTTTCCCATTATACTGATGTTGCCCACTATAAATTTACAATTGTCTAAGTGCCATCAGATTCAGGTACACCTATAATTGTGTTATTGCCTTTTTTATTCTAATGTAGACTTGCCTACTAGGTTTGATATCAATTTTTGTTCATATACGTTTTAACAAGAATAGCTGGATTTTATTATCTATATTGAATTTAAAAATGTGGCTTAGAAACTTAAAAATATGTCTCCTTTTTGTATTTTTCATAAACATAGTTCTAAATGTATGTATGTATGAACTTACAAAAATTGACATTTCAAATGAACTTGTGTTCAATAATTTGATGAATAATGGGTCGAGGGCGATTCAAATGAAACTAGTTCGGCTATTTGTTCCATAAGCGTGACCAATATTCAGTCGATAGTCGATAGAATATTTATCGACTGCAATCACTAGCTGCTTGAAAGTTGGCAACACTTTTGCGCAACGAACTGTCATTTTACTCCGTCTTCAAAAAAGACAGACTATAGTGTAGTAAATAGATATAATTCATGTTGTTTTTCAAATGCGGCTGCACCCCCTGACAGGGCCAGAGGCCTCTACCTCCCTAGGTCTTTTCAGCGCCCACTGGTAAGGACCACTTTGGGAAACTATGTTTCTGGATTACGGCCAAAAGTGGCCTTGAAGAAAGAGACAGATCCATGTTCACGGTCCTCGCACTGTTAGCTCGTACAATGCGTAGTAATATGTACATATTTCGGAACGCGTTGTCGTTGTACCTGTACCTGAAAGTCATTGGAGATCATACGTATTGAGCTTAGAATAAACTAGTGGAATATCAAAGCTGTGTTGACGCTACAGTGCGGCCGGCGAAAGAATGCATTTCTGACATCTGTCAGTTGGACATGACTAGTGATGGGCAATATTTAACGTTTTTTATATAATAGGCACTGTTTTTTATAACTGACCCACGACAAAAGTACTTTTTACTTTAAAAGTACTTTACTTACAAGTTTCACTACTTTTTGTATTGCGTCTTGTTACTTATATTGTTAATAAAGTAATTTTAAAGTGTAACTAGATTAAAGAAAATGAAAATACAGTAGTAATATACAAAAATTATTAAACATTATTATTAGAAAATAAATCATGAATAAGCAGACTCTGATTCAATTGAGGTGTCGTCGTCGCTTACATGTATAATTCACAGGTCGTATGTACCTGACTAACAATTTCAACTTTTCTGTGTTGCAAAAAAGTAGCATGACATGGTTTTTTTTTATTTTGGTGGCACAATACATTCACTTATTTTGTAATTTTTGATAAAAAAGAAAATATTACGAAGGATTAGGGTGACTAAACTACTTGCAACTCCTGTAAACAGTTCTTTTTCGCATTACATAATAGTATAACGATAGTATTGTTTACCACATTACTACAAAAAGAAACAGTTGAGGTAACCTTGAAACGGGGTTGTATGGATTTGAAAATTTTTATATATTTTCTATTATATTAAAGATTAAATTATGGCCAAACTTTTTTGGTTTATGGTGAGTTGGCGTTATATACGAATTTTAATGAAATTTTGTATCCATAGTGCTCATTAAGTATTAAAAAAAATATAGTGAATTGTTTGCCACTTCGTAGTTACAATGGACGTCGTGTCTTGAGCTGTCAGAAATGCATTCTCTCGGCGACCGCACTGTAAATGCACACACTGTTTTCTCTTCCTTATAAGGTATTTTCCCTTATAAAAAAACATACCGCAGCTTTATTTTGCTGCTCAAATCAAAGACAAAGTCAAATAATCATTTATTCCATAGGTTTTACACTTGAAAACGTCATTTTTGAAGCTGCGGCTCGTTCACTACGCTGACCTCCCTGAGAAGAACGAGCAAGAAACTCTAGGGATTGCTCTATTCAAATAAACTTAAATGCTATGGAATACACTTTGAATCATAATCGTGTGGAATCAAGACTCATGTTGTCTTTCCATACATCTTTATCCAACAGATACTCTTCAATTCAATTTTGTAATATGTCTTTTGAAATGACAATTTTAATGTATACTCCGGAATCTTATTGTAAAAACATATACAGTTCCCCATAAAAGTACCGTTTACCTTAGTTAGTCATTATCATTGAAATTGCAACTGTAATGTCATATTCTTAAGGTATATTACTATTCGTCGCCTGCAAATCCCTTGCCGTCCCGCCCCGTCAGTCAGTAGGCGCCGGATCTGACACTATTTCTTTACCCACTAACCCATATCATAGCATATCATTCCCTAGCCCCAGGAAGATTACCTTCTTAATCAAGCGTTCACCATATCCCGTCGTCGCTTCTCTCCGGAGCGAAGCAATTCTGATCGATGCACACGTATACCTCGCTCGAGGATGTCGTTGCGTAATCAGAGTAAGGAAAATATCGTGTCCAAAGATATTTTTGGTAATTACTGCTTTTTATAATCACTATACGTAACATATGATTTAGTTCCTAGTTGTTTCCACTTTATCGTTTTCACGTAACTTTTCTATAGTAAATTTCATGTAAATACCATAGTTTAATAAGACCAAGTATAATGGCAGGCTAGATGCGACAGTCCTCCAACGATAAATAAAACGTTACGACTAGAGATGGGAAAAACTGCTTATTTTTTTAAACGTTTAAACGTTGCAGCTTTTCTAAAAAAGCGTGCTTTTTATTCGCTTATCGCTTAAACGCTTTTCAGTTTGAAGCTTAAAAAATCGTTTACAAAAACGTTTAGGCGCATAGAAATGGTCAATTTGAGAAGTGGTCTTTTTTAATTGTGGTCATTTCTCATTGTGGCCCTAAACCGCCGAAAGGAAATATTTTATGTTTTTATAATACTTAAGAGTTTGGTATCTTTTTTATTTATTTTCTATTTATATGCTAATTTTATTATTTTTCTCTTTCCTTTTTACTTGAACAGTGTTGCCCGCTTATGACATTTGTTCTCGCTGCCTTGGGTTAGCTGGAAGAGATCTCTTAGAGATAAGGCTAAACCTTTGCTCACCTATTCTATAATTAATTTTTGTGATGTAGTTTTTGGTGCAATAAAGAATATATGAATGGCGTACGAGACCATTCGCGTTATGTAACACGAGCACACAGCGAGATTATATGTGTGCGGTCGGACAAACCGCGCAACCGGCATGCACACACAAACCGCGCTGCAACGTTTGTATGGAGTTACCTCTGCTTGGTCATATTCGACTATGTTACTAATTTGAGGCGCCATCTATAGACACATTATTAAACTACGTAGATGCTAACTGTCATTCAACCGTCAGATAGACTGTAAATTCTCTGGATCGGGAGCTCTAAAATTCAATACACCTGAGATTTTATTCTGGTTGACGTTCGTGTTGAGTAAGTTGTCAAACATTTTTCGCTATGGTTCGCAATTTATACATTGTCGGAGCCATATAAACTAAAAATCAATATTAGTAGCGCCACCTTCCGAGTCCGTGATGTACCAACTGGTGAGACCCCCTGCATACCGCGGCGCAGTGTTAAGTATTGCTCGCCAGCTGTCGCTACTAACACAGACTTCGTTCATCTATACTTTTTTAAATTAGAAAATACGTAAACAAGGAAGTAGTGATCGTAAACCTTTTTCCTTAGACAAAAAATTACAATAAAGGCAAACATGCATCGTGAGAATTTGAGTAATGACATTTAGAAAAAAACACGGATATTATGTTATTATTGTATTAAAAAAAAAAATAGTTTAGTATTTGGAACCTTTTTATAGTGCACGTCTTTGAAATACTCGTAAAATTAATATGTTAATCTTTATAGTTTGTCTTTTTTTAAGACAAGTAAAATGACAGTTCATTACGCAATAGTGTTGCCCGCTCGCGAGCAGCTAGTGATTGCAGATTTTATCGACTATCGACTGAATTTGGTTACGCTTATGCAATAAATAACTACTGAGCACAGGTTTATTTGAAATGCATTTTTTAAAATATCTGTTAATAATACAAAAATCTGTTAATAATAATATTTTCAAAATTTTTCATTTTCATTATTAAATTATTGTTTTGTATATATTAATATATAATCGAATCTGCCTGTCAAAATAAGAATAAAGACAAATAACGCAATGAATAATCATTATAACGTCGTCATAACATTCACAATTCAGACATTTTTGGCAAACTTCTATCTACTTTCCCAATCTATCGATAAAACTGTCGACAACAACTACATGACTATTTAATATTTTATGAAAACTGGCAGCCCTGCAAATGTCACTTTATTCAGTCTTCAAAAAAGACTTAAAACAAAGTATAATTTGTAGCTATCTACAACATCCCTACATTCACCGCTTTGTTCCTAGGTTTCAAACCATTCGCAAGCAAAAAAATAATAATAATGACATCTCGTGAAGGCAATATCACTTGTCAATACAGCCTTCCACACAAATTTGGATCTACACCTATGAATCCAGGGGACTATAATTTCGCTGTCGACATTATCGAGGATGTACTCGACAAAGTTAATGAAATGATAGTTGACGAATTTACGGAGAAACACGATGGTGACACAGAGAAGAATGGCTTCGAAGTTATTGCCTTTCCTAGTAATTTGAACGATGAGGGTAATAAGAGTGATTCTTTTGGGCCTAATGAGGAACAGGCGCTTGAAACAAATTTGTCTGTCGAAGGTAGTTTTGTTTCTAAATTATATCTATTTTAATGACTTGAAATATGAAATCACAAACTGCTACCATAGTATGTTGTTACCATGTCGTGTACCAAAGTGACTTGCCCTTTAAGTTAGAAGCTATATCCGGACATGTCACTCGACACTGCGACTGACATCCACGGCACTAGCCCGGAGAGTTAGTAAGGGATGAGCTAGATATACTCCGGTCTCTCCAGGCGCGTAGGTCTCTGGGAACTGGAAAGACGCCACCAAAGCGGTAGTGGACTTTACAATCAACGGCTTAGCGGTGGCAACGGTACCTGTCTGGAAAATAGGGAAGGTACTGTAAGTGCACCCGCGGTAGCTCACCTAAGGCACTAACTGGCCTTTTGAGAACCAATTGAAGTCTGTATAAATGGGTTGATTTGGGATCCAGACCTTATTGATAAGATCCCTGTGCAGCCTTTCTTGCACTTCTGTAGGGAGGGTCACTATAAACAAAACTTACGTAGAAATATACGGGAATTCTATGATAGTATAATAAAGAGTACCTTTCGCCTGATCGGCGCGTCGATGCCTACGCTTCTAAGGGATCTAAATGTTGAAATAGGTGGTTAATGTTATGTCTATCTTTGAGATACTGTTTTACCAATAGCAATCAGATATTTGTAACACTTTATAATTTACTTTGTTTACTTACGCAATACAGATGGTCTTGAAGACGTAATCCAAATAATAAACGACGAGGAAACGACATACAGTGAAGGTCTCATAGGGGACAAGCATTTAACGGAGGCAATGTTTCAAGAAAATGAATTTGCTTTGGTAACTGTAGAAGAGCCTCCTATAGTTTTAACAGCTAAGTTTAGCTCTGAGTCCAGGAGTTCCAGGTACAGTATTCTTGTCTTTTTCGATTATGATAAACGAACAGCTTGATATGAAGATAGATATCCAAGTACGCAGAAGTTGTATAATAACCTTTAGTATACAGTTTTTGTTTCGCTATAGTTTTCAACCTAGTGAATGCCAAATTTTGTATATCAACCGGAATCTCGTTATAGAGGCGTATATAATGCCCCTTAAATGAATTTTTCACTTTACGAAAACGACTACCAAGAACTGCTGGTTTATTTTTATTCCTCGTATTAATGTTATGTCTGTCACCATTTTTCATAAAGAAATTACTATTCCTCTTATGATCTTCTTCTATCTTGTTCATATGACCGCTGCGAGCACGTTTGTAGCGTTCAGTTCTTTAGAGTCAATTTTCCACCACTCGAAACGAAATCTTCGATGTTGTTCCTGCAGCTTAATTTTGATTGCCTCTCCCGATCGGAAACTGCGTCTTTTCCGAGTCGAGGCGCATAATTGCGATGCACAAGTGGCCGATCAGAAACTTTTTATATTTCTAATCTATTAATAGATATCAGATCGCATAGGCGAGGTGGCCATTCGACTTCTTCTATATATTGATTGTTTAACTAACCATAAACGTGTTTACGGTGGTCATATCAACGAGATCGAATTCCATTCTTAAATGTAACATGTTTACATATATAAATTTCAGCTTGATATCTCGATTATTCTATTTTATATTAAAATACAAAACTATTATATCCTTATTGAAAAACCCGATATAACTAGAGTTATCAGATAGTACCTATATGTGCTCTGTAGCGAAAAGTATAGCGGAATACGTGAAAATTAATAATAGTAACCAGGGTTCGAAGTTACGAAGATTTTTATTTACTTTGATAATGAAAATGATAACAAAATAAAGTTTTCTTATTCTTTATAATTCTAGGGACGGCGGACTAAAGTACATAAGTCAAAAAAGTGCTTCATTTGTTAATAAATGTTTTTTTTTTGTTTTTTTTTTGTTTATGGTGTTGGAAGATGTGAAAAGAATGATAAAGTGGAAAAAGACGCGTCTAGAATAAAGTTACAAATTTATGAAGTAATAAATGAATTTAACTTGTTGGATTTTGACTTATGTGCTTTAGTCTGCCGACCCTTTAAATATCATGATAAATAATAATTATCTGTTAGTTATCCGTGTTGATTCATAGTTTTGTCTCTTTAATTTTCGGCTAAAAACTACAAACAGTGAGAAATAGACACGAAGCATAATAATTGGGAAAACAATTTGGTTTGTGACTTTTTTGCGATTGACATTTGACATCCTTGGATACGTCTCGCATAAAAACACATAGCATGACATTGCTAGCGGTAGCATTTTGTTGTTCCAATTAGTAGCAGTAGAACTCCTTACGAAAGAGTTCGTTCAGGGAAGTACTGCCTCTTTACTCTAAGGGCAAGGGTGCTGGTGAAATTACAGGCGCATGGAACTTGTCATGTCAACTTATGTATCAGGGTGACGGGCGCAGTGGCAGTTTGCGATTTAAAGCTTAGAGTGGCACTGCTTCTGTTATAGATAGGCGTGTCGCTTTCCACCAGGCGCACGATTAATTCGTCCCGTCACTAGATATCATAAAAATAAATATATAGAATAAATTATCAAGGCTTAAGACAAGTCACTGCGGACCCTGACAGTAACTAAAAGCTACTGGTAAGGGTTCTAAAGTTTACGGAACAAAGTTCAAAATAAAAAACGGATTTATAAAAGTGTGCATTAGTCACTGATTCATACACACAACTACAGAACAATAAATACAGTAGAAGTGGTTAGTTAGCGTGTCAAGTATACGAACCAACGTTTCGGGCCCTTTACAGGTGCCATGGTCCACCTCCAACCGTGACCATTGGTTTGTTAGAAAAAAAAACAAAATATGCGCTATTTAAATCCGGTTACACATAGGATTGTTACACATTTCCTATGTGTAACAATCGCGAAAACCTAAGAACTCGACATAATGTACTTGTTCAAAAACTTGGAAGTTCCCTGTATATTGTGTGTCAGAGCAGTGAAACTCTTCCGAGGCAATATTCGAAAACTGCCAGAACGTAATTTAACCTGGGACCTCCACATCAATCTTACATAGTGGAGCCACAGAGGTCCTTAAAATTTTTGATGTGTTTTCCAAAATATACAAATTAGGACTTCAAGTTAGGAGTTAATAGGCATTTTTTAGACAACGGCAGTACCAACTTCGGTCACATCAGGTGAAATTGTCGGCAAGCGTCTGTCTATGACAATTTTCTTCTCTGTCTGAAAATTTTCAATCTTATAAGCAGGTCTGTCGAATCGGGGTAAAATTGTGATACAGAAAAATTTATAATCAAATTTCTGCTACAGGAAAAGTGCCTTAAACGAGGAATTAAAAGACAACTTAGACGTAACAGAATGCAGTGATGTTACTACAGATACTAACAAAACGCACGAGACCAAATCTTCGTCGATCATATCAGGTCTTTGTTATTTTTTTTCTTTACTTTTCGACGACGACGCCATTCGCGATCTATGATTAAGGTAAGGTTGTAAGTTGATTGAAGCAAAAATAATGTTGAATCAAATAGTCATAAACTGGAATCCATAATTACCAGGGCTATCCAGACGGTAGATTGCGTTTTAGTGTAAAAAAAAAGCTTATGTACAGGAAAAATAATATATACATTTGAAAGCGATGCTTGAATACTACTTTTCGACCTAATTTCCATACATATTCCCGCACTTAGGTTTGAAATTCATAAAAATCCAAAGTCATAAAATTCTGCAGCCTGAGACTAACTAGTTAAGCCGTCTTCTGATTTGTTGATGCTGTAGCGGCGTGACATCAGTATGCTCGGTACCGAACTGGTACTGTTAGCCCCCAGTTACACGAGGCGAAAGATGTCACGTGGCCGCCGCGAGGCGACCGCCCAGTTACCACGCCTTCATGTACATTAACAGCGAATCTGAATTCTATTTACTAGGCAACAACATTTAAATTCCTCTGAATAAATAATACAACCGCGCGGCTGCCGCGTAGGCCAAATTCAAGCCTGACTCGCCCGCGTGACCGGGACTCTCATTTAAGTTAAAACGTAAAAGCTAAACAAATAGAGCGTATTTTGCCATGACTGTTAGACGCATGCGGTCGCTGTGCGGCGACAACGCGAAGTCCGCTCGGCGCACTATGGAAAATGATAGAACAACGGCATATCAAAAATCGTTTTTACTTAAGTCGTTATTGACGCACTTTAAATTTTTTTTTAAATTGTATTAGAGTGGTACTTTATTATAATGTACTAATTTTACGTGAATTGCATTTGGAATACATATTTTTTAATGAGAGAAATTGTAATTCGTAAGAATGTCTATTTCAGATCTACTTATATTATTAATAATACATTTTTATTAATAATATAAGTAGCGTTGTCCTTAAGGAAATCAAATAAAAGCTATTTCTGAAATGTATTCTTTAATTTTTTTTTTCAAAAATAAACATACGCTTATAAGAGTATAGCATCTGAACTTTAACTAAAGCAGTATTTAATACTCTATGCTTGTGCAAAAATTCAATAGTATAGACTATACTTAACAAATAAGAAAGTATCGATTTTTTATCTGAAACAGATCTCGATTTTCCATAGTGCGGCGGCCGCGCGGGGTGAGCGCGATGAAATTCATATCGAATAAATGCGCCCTAAGGCTTCTAACAGATTTACCGCATTTGCTGTTAATGCGCCAAGTCGTAAGCCGACGACATGCAGTTAATGGGTGAAGTCGTTATCTGAGACCTCGACTGCATGCAGTTAATGTTGTGAAGTCGTTGTCAATTTCATGTAGTCGAGGTCTCGGCTGCATGAAGGCGATTACGACTTAACGCATTAACTGCAAACATGCAGTCACTTTGTTAGCAGCCTAAGGCCTTCATCTATGCACGTGTCGGGATTTTTCTCGGTGTAAAATTCTGCAGTACAGCTTGTAACATCGCGTCGCGAGACAATGTTATCCTCGAGTGATGAAGACATTTTGGCGTGTTTTTTTTGTCTCGGAATACTTTGCTACTCTATAATTCTCTAGACTACTGGAATTCCAATTTCCAGTACCAAATTAACATGGATTTCCATGTCCACCATCATGTTTACCTACTGCGTTTCGCGCGGCCGTGTACGGCAAATGTCGAGGGTCGCCTGGACGAGCATACTGAGTCGCAGTAACCCGATAAGATCCCTTTCGGCTAATCAGGAAGCGCACATTGAAATATAGGCGCTAGGTAAGCTTTCGGTATTGCATGTGCCTCAACGCATCGCCGCGCTACCGTGCCGACAAGTCAGGAAACCGTCTTAGTCACGCTCTCAAAGCGCTGCGTCGCCCATTTCCAAACCTAATGCACCATTAGCGCACTCCACCTTCGTGATCACATTGTTCCGTCACAGAGTTGACGATAAATTACAGTCGATGTATTGCTTTAAGGGTAAGAACTCATGGAGCGGTTTTCACCCGGGACCGCGGCTTCCGAAGAATGTAGAAATGTATGCAAAACTTAGTAGCACATTTCACGACGCGTTTTACGCTCGAGACGATTGCTCGCGGCGGCCGCAAACCGCGCGAGACGCGGACACCCGCGCGCTTGGCGGGCGGTTCGCGGGTTGGGTCTTTCCTTCCCACGCCATTTTGTGATTGATTGTCAATTTCGTGTCAATTTCTTAACTTATGGATGTTGAAGTCGATCAATTAATTTTCTACCAGTTACCATTTTTTTTAAAAGTTCTGAATAAATAGATACGGACATCCGAATAAAATTAAAGAATTTGTCTTCTTGTTTTTTTTTAACTCATTAATAAGAACAACGAATAATCCGTAACGATTTCTTTCCGGAATCAGAGGTTGCACCCTGAATCTTTTAGACCTACTTCTTTTAATTCGTCGATGAAGTAAGTATTACGCGATGGCTCGTTTTTGATGTGAGTCCATGGCGACGTCTGAGACTTAACTGACGATCTCAATCCATCGTAAATAACCGCGCGCTTTGCGATCCTCTTCTAAGTTTGCTAAGTATGCGGGCCGTTCCGCAACCGCGGCGGCTACGTGACCGCACAAACCTGCGGTATCGTGAGTATTGAAATAAAACAGCTGTCCCGCAACCGCATCGGGCGCGGGTCAAAACCGCTTCGTGAGTTCGAGTGACGCATCGCAAGAAATTGCGAATTGCTTCGCATCGCGCATTCCTGCGATGTTAATCTTCTTTGTGTTTTTTTTTTCTTATACTTTCTCATCTATAACAGCAGTGCAACAGTGCCACACTCTTTTTACGATCCATGTCGCTACCTAGTTTAAAAAATACGTTCCATACGGTTGACGATCGTCAAAGGAATGGTTACCCGAATTGTGGCAGTGAGATGTCTTGCCGCACGAAATCGCATCGCAGCAATTCGCAGTTTAGTGTTTCGACACTAAACCAACAAAAACCGTACTACTTGATCGCACTTCACAACTCGCGGGATTTTCAATTGCGGAAGAAATTTCTCGCGAGCACAGCCAAATGGCCACTGGAGGGACTTGCGCGAGTCTGCTATATCTCGCATTTTATGTCGCGCTAATACCGTATCTAGCGTCTACATAACCAAAACGTAATCTATTCAGGATATCCCTCATAATAACATACATATTTAGGCATCGGAGAAAAAGCGAGTTGTTTATAAATATGGTACCTACTTCGGAAAAACTCAACTATGGTTATACAAACCACGTAAATGTTAATAGCGAGCTTTACACAGACACTATCGCGCGTGACACGGCAATGATACGCAATTGAGCGCGCATGTAAAGACGTTGGAAGGAAAATGGAAAGACTAAGGGCTCATCAAGCGCACACCAACAGTCCCACGCGGTCTATCCTTCACTTAGCCTTTAGGTACACGGACGCTCTTTCCGTTGTAACAAACGCGAACACGAGCAGTCGCGAAAGAAACATTTCAAACAGGTAATCGCGCACGATTGCGCTTGCAGTCTTTCCCGCGCGCAATCCTGTACGCGCCTGATAAAGTGAGTGTGTAAAGGGGGCTATTCTTGTTGCTTTTCACCTCACGCAATTAGCCTACAGATAATAATTTTCAACAGACTTAAGAACACAAATAATGCCAGACGACGGGGAGATTAATGTGGAGAGCCTTCTGAACTACTTGCGGAAGAAGAACGCTGCATACGACGTCTTATCAGAGGCGGATATTGATTAATATGATTTTTTAAACATTTCACATACGTACTAGACACAGACAACTGCGGTAATTTCGCACGCTTTTTCACATCTGTTTCCGTTTCTGCTTCCGCGACTTTTATATCGGAACTTTATAACGTTCGCGATGGATCAGGCGCGTGCGCGTAATGCTTGGCAGTGGAACGCGTGGGTCTTAGCAGTTGTGTGTTGTGTCCAAACCAAACATGAACCCTGTTTGGAATTACTTCCGTTATGACACTTCCGTTGCATCACTAGTTACCTCGTTGATATTTCTCTTGAACTTCAGATACACAAAGCAGGCGGCTTTCGAGCTTTGACGGTTACGGCTCCCAATGCTTTGATGTCTGCTATCGGTCAATAAGCCAATAAACCAAAATAAAATCCGCGTATAACTATAATATGCTCACTTCTAAACCCGTGAATTTAGGAATAATCAACCTGGGTTAAACTTTAATACATAAAAGTGTAGATATCAACTTTGAATACGTAATCATAGGTAACTTGAGTATTGCTGTCTCGCTCTTAAACGAACTTGTCTCTGTCTTAGGGAGGTGTTTAATAAACGTATTAGAGTCTATAATTTGGGCGCCTTATGTTTGGGCTAGGTATCCCTACCTTCGACCATAGACGAAAACGTTCAGAAACTTGATCTCGTGTAGAGTAAACCCTTAATAAAATAAAGGAATAATATTTAATACTTTTTTTAAAGAAATCCATTGACTATTTTATCACATTTTCAAATTTTGAATGTATAATGGTACAATACTTATCACCAAAATAATGATCTCCGTTTTTAAAAAAATATTGACTACGGAAATGGCATGAAAGGTCGGCAATTGTCCAGAAACAGCTGCCATTTGTAAATTGATCATGGATGCTCACTACGTCTAGGGCGATATGGATAAAAATAATATACGGTACGTTGCGTTATAATTTTAGCCTCGCATTTCGGCATTACAATTTCTTTCAAGCAGAGATAACTGAACTACGCACTGAACAGGTTATATTAATCTAAAAGCGCTGTCTAGTATACTAAAAGTAGTATTGCATACACAATTAACCAATCAGAGGGCCTATATTAGTGTAAGAACGAGACAGATGTATTGATATCTCGCTTGTATAAAGATTGTCGCGCAGAACAAAATTTGCAGTCGGGCGTAACGTATGCAGCTACAATGACACATCATACCTAAAATGCAATAACCATTGACAATGTACGACAAGTAATTTGAAACCTAATTGAATCGTATTAAATCACATCGTGTTTTACATCTTGTATGTATTCTATTTGAATGAAACACCGCATATTTTGTTCCAAATCTTATTTAATAAAATTGTAAAATCGTTACTAAACATTGTTTTAATTCTACGAAATGCAAAATAATAGTTCCTTATTCCTGTGTTGACTATTTAACGGTGAGTGTTCTTTGTGTAATTATTACTTTTAAGTAGCTTCATTATTTAACTGTTTCACTGCTCATTATTGTAATGCCGGGTTCCTGTCTTCCGCACAAAGGCGTTCACGTTGCCTTTGTTTGGGTTGTCGACACTCGAACCAGCTGCTGCTCTGTAATTGGCCAGAGGTGCTGTCCTCCGCAAACATTCCTTGTTGCTTGCGTGGAAATACCAAGCTTGCTAGATATGAAACTCACGCAACGTAAAGAAATCCAACAAAAAGCAAGCGGCCGGCGCAATCGAGCGACTTGTGAACAGTCCTACCTAGAGATTTAAACGTTTTAAAGGTTTAAACGGTGTGCTTTTTTCACTTAAATGCTTTTTAGTTCGAAGCTAACAAAATCGTTTAGAAAACATTTAAGCGCATAGACTTTATGTTAAGCTTTAAAAGCTTGCAACGTCGTGTAGTAGCGAAACGCAAGAGTAGGTATAACACTAAAGGTTTTAGGATAAGATTTTTTTTGTAAAAAACGAGTTATATTTTTATTTATGACATAACATTATTATATTAACGTTCAAAAGCGTTCAAAAACATAAATTGTTTAACTTTTGTAGTTGTTAACCGTTGAAATGGAAAATATGTTTTTTTAACGTTAAAACGTACGTTTAAAAAGTGTGCTTGTAAAAGCGCTTTTCACTTATACGCTTTTTAGTTTGATGGTTTGACCCTTAAAAAGTCGTTTAAAATTTATGTTTAAAAAAGCTTGCAAAGTTATGTTGAATTAATTTGTTTAGAAAACATAGATGGCGCTACTTGAAACTTAAGCATGTTGTAAAAAATGAAATTGTTGAGTACCTATAGAACGGACCAGTGACCAGCGCTTACGCTTAAAATGAAAAGCGTGCTTATGCGCTTATTTTAAAAAGCAGAGTTTTTAAGTGCTCTTCGTGTAAACGCGCAATTCCAATCCTACCTGCACGTACGCGACAGATCTTTGCGTATGCGCGAAGCGAGTTAACGCATGCAAGCGAAAAACGCAAGTGAGACTCGTGAACCCGGCATTACCCGTAAGATTGTCGTGCTTATTTTGCAATAACCCTGCCTATATCTGCCTGCAAAGCTTCTTGTATCTGTATTAGACTGCTATGTCCATATAAATATTAAGGTGATCCAAGTGGATTAGGTAATCCACGGGAAAAATAATTGCCCATGGTCTTTCCTGTATACCCTGTTTTATATAACTGTATTTTGACGAAATAACAATCTCACCGTAAAGAAATCTGTCTTAGTAAAAAATGTGACGAAATGAAAATCTGACTAAAAATGTTTTTTTTGAAGGTAGTAGAATGTATAATACAAAGTCAAACCGATGAAAAAACCAGTTCTGCAGACCAAGAAAGAAACTAATACAAGAGAAAATATTTCTATGGTCTACTTATATTCCTCTCGTGAATTCGGGTGTAATTTTGGCCAGTTACCATGCTGGCCTGCCATGCAGAGGTCCCGAAGGTTCGATTCCCGGGCCGGAAGAAATATTTATATGACCTACATTTATTTCTCTCGTGATTCGTCGTTATCTATGTCTGTGTGTATGACACCCACGATATAGTTTCCCTAGTGCGAAAATATTTATAATTTACTTACCCTTCTCCCTTTTCTTTTTCAGACCGACGGAACTAGACGCCCTAGTATTCGGCCACGTGTTCACTATTATAACAACGCGTCTACCATGCCGTCGTTTAGCCGAAACAGTAAAAAAACATTCAACTCTAGTAGCTCTCGCTAAACGAGTTGACGAAAGATATTTTAAAAGACCATAGCATCAACAGTTCAGGGACATCTCTACTGCGTTTGCGAGTCCTTGAACAACCTTCCCTTCGAATTTAAGTCTATCTCGTTCGATTTAGAATTGCTTAGAAATCAGAAATTCTGAAAAATGCACAGCCACGTCTAGAACTTAGGTTTTGAAAGGTATTATCTTACGATTAGTTGTGCACGTCTTAACTTCGACTTCGAGAGATTTTTTTAGCATTGCCATTCACAATCTAATACGCCGCCGAGTTTGTGGCCTCCGCATACCGAAGGTCTCCTCATTTATTTGTCCTTTCTGGACAAGTAAATGAACAACCATTGAATTATTTATGTCGAGATATATTTTGATATAATAGAATAGAAATACTTTATTCTAATAAGAAACAATACAGCACACATATCCACTTACACTTAACAATTACGACACATAATTATAACATGAAAACAACGAAATGAAAAAGGAAAAAAAAACGTAACAATTAGATTACACACGCACAATAATCAACTGATAAAAGTCATAAGCATGCTGTGCTGTTACGGAATCCGTGATCCTCAGCTAGGTGTTGTCGCATTTGCTATGGCTGATTTTCAATGGATCCGGCTAAATAATAACGTCTCTTCAAGAAGAGAAAGTGATTAAGAAAGAACAATGGCAAACTCCTATATAAATTTTTATTGAGATAATTTGTATGCCGTCTGTTTATGAAAAATATAGCGTTGAAATTCCGGAACAAATTTTGTTTTGGGTTTACTATTCTGAGTAGTTAGGAATTAAAAATATTCCTGTTTGAAGTTTTGGAGGTTACGTAATTGAATAAAATGTCTTCGGTGTATATCAAAATAAATAAATATAGTTAATAGAAGCTGAATGGTGAGGTGGGTATGTGACGTGAGGAAAGTTCAGAGGAAATTATTTTTTATACTGGTATGGTCAAAAGGCATAAGGTTAAGCCATAACAAAAAAAACTGAGTTTCACATACTATAGCACTAATTCGGACAAATAATTTTTTGTGAAACTTGCCATCTATCCCGAATTTCGGGAACTTTTTTGTCAGTTTTACCATTTTGTATGTAAAGAATAAAGTTTAAATTATATTAACAATCCAGAATTTATTTCTTTTTAAATTTGAAACTACGACCAATCAATATCAAGATTGTGTAGTGTTTCAAATTAAGAATGTATGAGTTTTGGCGACTTTGCTTCTGATAATAATCGAGGCTTTAGGGTACTTCCATTGTTCTTTTTCTTTCGCGAAATCCGACCGGAGAGGCGAGGTGTATGTCAGACTTGTACCGTCTAACTTAAGTATGAAACACGACTTTCATAGGCACTGTAGACATTAAAATGTAACACGTGACACTAACTTGATTTATTGTTAATAGGTGTACATTTGTAGTTAATTACTAAATATAAAAATAAGTTTAAAATTGGCACAGTCTTATTTATTTGCTCAGTACAACACCAGCCTAATTTACATTACGAAATTAGTGTCATAAAATGAATTTTATGTCATTAATTTCGTGTATTTCACGTGTAAACATGTCATTTTGTAATGCATGCATTAATTTTATAAAATTAAATATTTTAGTGGGTAGCGCGATTTTTTGGTAAAATTAGTGACTAATTTTATTATGTAAATGCAACGCGAAACTGGTGTATTACAGCTATGTGGGTCTTCATTTCCTAATTTCTAACTTAACATTCTTTTTTTTATTTTCTACATTAACACCTCTGTAACAACATTATACATTGCAAAAAAGTAATCAGATGCCACCAGTACCAATGTTGCTATGACACTAAAGATGTCTTGACACAAATTTTTACTTTCATGTGTATTGAAATTAGTTTAGTAAAATCAATTCCAACATGCATGCAATAAGGCTCACAATGTAATTCGGCAACAGATAAATGTAAGTTATATAGGGAGATGCCACACGGGCGTTGCGTCGTCGCGCTCTGTTTCAACACACCATGTGGCATGTCCTGAATTATATATAGTACAACGCAGTTGCGAAGACGCAACGCCCGTGCAGATTCTCCCTTACTCGAAGATGCGTGTTGGAATAAATGACAGCTACATAAACAAGATTGAATTGTTACTTACTTATCCCGTTAGATGGCGCTGTATATTGTTTGTCAAAAAGTCCGTGCTGTATTAAAAATTAAATGAAAGACAAAAATATCAAACTTTAATCTATTATTGGCCATGACCATCTACAGTGTTTTGCCGTCGTAAGGGAAATTTCATAATTCCCCTTCATAAAATTCCTGCCTTATAAAAAGTGTCGTTTTATAGTACAAAGTGTTCGCTCAAGGGATTTTGTGAAGACCGAAAACTTTCCCGCCTATCATTAAAATGCGCGCTAAAATATTTTTAAAATGTCTACAATACAGCATTTTAAAAGAAAATTGTTCTTTTTTCCTTTGAAGTTAGCTAGTTGCAAAAATAGCACGTACTTACCAATTACAAATCATGTGCATTTTTTTGGAAATAGAAGACATACTAAATTTATACTACTGCAGATGATTGTTTTTGTTGTTACAATATTTTATTATTAAATATTTTTAATATTATGTTTTAGAGAAAATAGTATTATTTAAATGTATACGAAGCATTTAAAGTACACCACGGTATTTGCTAATGCATTTTTATATGTTACTATGTATGTAGTTATGTATAATGTAGATTGAAATTAAGCGGGATATTTTTGTAAAGCGATGCATAATAATAGTGCTGTACGGTGTGTATATCGATAGACTATCGTGGTGCAATAAGTTACTAACAATATCGGTATCATATTGAAGATTAGAATTGAAATAAATGGTTTGATTGTGAATGCTTTTTTATTTAGTTCTTTAAATAACGTCGACTGGCCTAAGAGCGTCGCTAGCAGTAAATATCGCTCAATCACAGATGTATAAATATCCTGTCTATAATATTTAAAACACCTTACCTACTTACTACTTCCCTCCGTGAGACGCCATATATAAACAAATGACAGAGTTATTGAACACACGTGTGTGACGTCATTGTCGCTGAATTTCGAATTTTAGTTTCTATTGTAGTTTTACACCTGTATGTTCCTAAATACACAACCTTTTGTTATTCTATCATAGGGTACAAA